CAGTGACAATAACTTAACGTCAGCTTTGACTACAACTAGAAAACCTTTCAGCAAGACAACCTACAACAGAACCTTGATCCTGCTTGGTCTCTCCCAACTTGAATTTTCGGAAACAACCCAGAAATACAGAAAGAAAACATAACCTTGATCTTGGGGAAAAGGAGAAAAAAATCAACATGTAGGCCTAAGTTCAAACGTAAACCCGTAACCTCGAATTTAGGGGGAAAGAAAGACAATAAACGTGGAAATTCACAATAAGCAATATTCACTCCAAATATTCAGCGCCACCTGAAATCACATCAACCAAGAAACAAACCTGATAACGCTAAACTTGGGAATGCAAAGAAAATAATAAAAAATGGGAAGGCTATCTTAAAACCTGTAAAATATGAAGTAAATGCAGAAAATGCGAAACTAAGCAAAGAGAACTAACTTGTAAATGGGAAATTTAAAAGAAGAGAGAGAAATAAGGCAAATATATATATAAACTAACTTGAAGAGGGAAAAAAAACTTTTTTTTTTATGATTCGAGTACTCAACTGTATAGGCCTAGTCCAATCCATTTTGTCCAGCTGCTCGCTTTCTATACATTTTCCTGCGTTAGCCTATACATCAAGTGATGGCACTAATAGCATTCCATTAGTAATAGCATTCCATTCGCATTCCAGAGCAGCCAAGTTCGGTTCACTGGCCAGCGAGAGCTCAAATGATGCTACAGCGCTTGTTCTTCATCCCGTTAAAGACAAGTGAATGATTTAATCTATTAGCTAGGCTAGCCTACTTCACACAAAACGAACCAGAAGCCGTCGTATTTTATCAAAGCCCAGTTAAAGCAGCTCCTTCTAATGCACCGGGTATATCACAGACGGATGACAATTAGCCAACATTATGACAGATTGTGTTACATTTAATTTCTTTATGTATTGTTTTGTCATTTCTTTCTCAAGCCAGTCACCTACCAACAAATACGAAATCTCAGAGAATAAAGATATCTTTCTGTTAGTTATGATTTTTCACAAGTAACAGATTTGTACAGGATGGGATTTCCCCCGATATTTTAATAAAATAATAGCTTACTTGAAAATATGGTCATGTTTGTCTTTCTTTTCCGTTTCATTTTATATTTTGTTGGTATGGAGCGGCAAGTATAAAACATAATTTAAAAATAATTCTCTTGACACTGTGCTCTCATGCTCTTCAATATCAATAGGGGGCAACAGAGGATGTTTTTACTGAGTCCTCAGCACTCACCTGAATTACTTCAGCCAAGACAACAGCAGAATATAGATCATATCGTGTCAGTGGTGACTGATGTTCAGTGAGACCACCACCAATAAAACTTTCAAATAAAGTTGAAATATAAACGTAGATTTTGGGAGACAAACAATATGTAAAGAAAGTGTTAACCTGTAACCTTAAGCTTGGAAAAAAAGAAAACTTTAACCAGTAACCTTGACCTCTGTAGATCAATCTCATAAGAGAGCAACCACAAAAAAAAAAATTATAATAATAGTAATAATATAAATAAATGAAACATTTAAAAAATCCAAATTCACATTCAAAGGTCGCCGTGTTTTTGCCAAGTAAGACTTTTGTTGATCCTGGATCAACATTATTGTCCAAAAATATAGACTTAACACAATCCTTACCCCTAAAACTAACCCTACCCAAAATGTATTCCTAAAATCAGTGGGAAATGATGGCTGATTAACAAGGGTGTAGAAGCACCTAACCCTGATTGTAAGCCTAAAACAGATATTTGCAGAAAAGTTATCTCTCAAATCTGATTGGTTGATTGGAATGATGTTCCAGGATCAACAAGGATGTTGATCCAGGAACATGTTGTACCTGGTGAAATCACGCTCACCCCCATTCAAACTATAACCTTGAACTTCAACGGAACCTTGAATTGAAATATACAAAGAAAATATTACCTAATTTCTGCCAATAATCACATTCTCATGTCATCATTAAAACACTGCCTAAATACAACTAATAAAACTGACCACATAATTACCATTTGATGCAGTGACAATAACTTAACGTCAGCTTTGACTACAACTAGAAAACCTTTCAGCAAGACAACCTACAACAGAACCTTGATCCTGCTTGGTCTCTCCCAACTTGAATTTTCGGAAACAACCCAGAAATACAGAAAGAAAACATAACCTTGATCTTGGGGAAAAGGAGAAAAAAATCAACATGTAGGCCTAAGTTCAAACGTAAACCCGTAACCTCGAATTTAGGGGGAAAGAAAGACAATAAACGTGGAAATTCACAATAAGCAATATTCACTCCAAATATTCAGCGCCACCTGAAATCACATCAACCAAGAAACAAACCTGATAACGCTAAACTTGGGAATGCAAAGAAAATAATAAAAAATGGGAAGGCTATCTTAAAACCTGTAAAATATGAAGTAAATGCAGAAAATGCGAAACTAAGCAAAGAGAACTAACTTGTAAATGGGAAATTTAAAAGAAGAGAGAGAAATAAGGCAAATATATATATAAACTAACTTGAAGAGGGAAAAAAAACTTTTTTTTTTATGATTCGAGTACTCAACTGTATAGGCCTAGTCCAATCCATTTTGTCCAGCTGCTCGCTTTCTATACATTTTCCTGCGTTAGCCTATACATCAAGTGATGGCACTAATAGCATTCCATTAGTAATAGCATTCCATTCGCATTCCAGAGCAGCCAAGTTCGGTTCACTGGCCAGCGAGAGCTCAAATGATGCTACAGCGCTTGTTCTTCATCCCGTTAAAGACAAGTGAATGATTTAATCTATTAGCTAGGCTAGCCTACTTCACACAAAAAAATGCTTTCGAACCAGAAGCCGTCGTATTTTATCAAAGCCCAGTTAAAGCAGCTCCTTCTAATGCACCGGGTATATCACAGACGGATGACAATTAGCCAACCTTATGACAGATTGTGTTACATTTAATTTCTTTATGTATTGTTTTGTCATTTCTTTCTCAAGCCAGTCACCTACCAACAAATACGAAATCTCAGAGAATAAAGATATCTTTCTGTTAGTTATGATTTTTCACAAGTAACAGATTTGTACAGGATGGGATTTCCCCCGATATTTTAATAAAATAATAGCTTACTTGAAAATATGGTCATGTTTGTCTTTCTTTTCCGTTTCATTTTATATTTTGTTGGTATGGAGCGGCAAGTATAAAACATAATTTAAAAATAATTCTCTTGACACTGTGCTCTCATGCTCTTCAATATCAATAGGGGGCAACAGAGGATGTTTTTACTGAGTCCTCAGCACTCACCTGAATTACTTCAGCCTCTAATTTTACCATTAAACAAAAAGCATTTTGCGAATCACATAATCCCTTTTAACTTAATAGTTCTCCCAAATATCATGTCACGTCGTTGCAACCCTGTATAAAATGATTTTCTTATTTTCTGTGAAAAACAGAAGAAGATATTTCGAAAAATGTTTTGAATATTTTATCCATACAGAGCAAGTCAGTGGGGTCCAAAACAGCACTGGACATTGACTTTTTTTTTTCTTTAAAAAAAAAAAAGGCAAAAAAAAAGGCAAAAAAAAAACCTTTCTACTACTTTCTAAAATTGCCTATGGAATCATTGCATTGTGTGTCCATGCCACTGTATATCCAGTCAATTACAGACTGTTGAAGTGAGCTATGGTACAGTGACAAAACACAGAAGTACATTGTTCGGTGTTTGTTTCAGTAATGGAGAAGTTCTTAAGCAAGCTGTAGCTAGTGTAGGTCAATTCTGTGAAACTTACATAATGAAAGAAATGTCCTATTTAATTAAATAATTGTAAATAATAAAAAAAAAAGCTATGGCAGTAAAACGGTCCTGTCAGTGATGATCAGATATGCAAAAGATAACTGTTTGGGGAAAGGAACTAGTTTTTGTAGAGGACTGATATGCAAAAAGAACCTGTATACAGGTCAAAGATAAGATAACGTTTCAAAGGTCATGGCATGTACAAGACTTTCAATATCATTTAAAACTTGTGATTATTTTGAAAGGATTTTTTTTTTAAACTTATGAAAAAAAAAAAAAGTTAACCAGATGAGAAATAAATTAGGCATGCATTATTGCAGCACACACACCTACAAGGTTAATAATTAAAAAAATTTTAATTAAATAATTGTAAATAATTAAAAAAAAAGCTATGGCAGTAAATCAGGTCCTGTCAGTGATGATCAGATATGCAAAAGATAACTGTTTGGGGGAAGGAACTAGTTTTTGTAGAGGACTGATATGCAAAAAGAACCTGTATACAGGTCAAAGATAAGATAACGTTTCAAAGGTCATGGCATGTACAAGACTTTCAATATCATTTAAAACTTGTGATTATTTTGAAAGGATTTTTTTTTTAAACTTATGAAAAAAAAAAAAAGTTAACCAGATGAGAAATAAATTAGGCATGCATTATTGCAGCACACACACCTACAAGGTTAATAATTAAAAAAATAAATAACCTAAAAGGTTATAAAAAAAGATGGTGAGACTCAGTTGGTGCGTTGGTTCTCAGCACTGGATCTCATTTCAGTACTTTGTTATTGTGTTGCAGTATTTTGCCTAATTTATTTAGATAAAACTTACATGTTTATATCTCAGATACATTAGGCAATGTTAAAGATTCTATGTACAAAAGGTAAATAGTACATCTAGAAAAATAAAAACATCCTGCATTAGTACTACATATGAAGCATGTCAATTACAAAATTCATTGATATACAGAAGACTTTTTACACTTTGCTGTTTTAACATAGAAACAAGGAATAACCATTTTCCCTTTATGGTTTGTAATTGGCATAATTTCTTAAAAAAAATTAAATGAATAATTTATTCATCATTTACTCAACCTCATGTTGTCCCAGTCAAAAAATTTAAAATAAAATAAAATAAATAAATAAATAAAAAATAAGTATGACTTTCTTTCTTTTGTGGAACACAAAAGACAATGTCATACAGGTTTGGAACAACATGAAGGTAAATAACTGATGACTGAATTTCCATTTTTGATCAATGCTAATCAGTCTGTCAGTCAAAATGCTGGGCACTTTGCCCTTAATTAGCGCATAATCACATGGTAAACGAAGTGCCATTGTCATTGTACGAGCCATCCATAGAGCGGCGTGTGGAAATGTACATTTCAGTGGTGGCCCGTGAGGAGCGTCTTGCTGACATGTAGTTCTTCCCCAAGCACCAGATGTCCCGTAGGATCTTCCGGAAGTGGTTTCTGAAATTCACTCCGATGAAGGCATACAGCAGGGGATTGAGACAAGCGTGCAGGTACGCCAAGCTTTTCGTGATGGTCATGGTTAGTGCGACAGATTCCTCATGGCTGCATTCCTGCAGTTCAAACATGTTGATGGTATAATACAACAGCGCCATATTATAAGGCATATGGCAGACCACAAACACAAGGACCACAGTGAGGACCACACGCACTGCCTTGTGTCTCTGAAAGTTCTTGGCCCGAAGGAGGGTGACAATGACACTGGCGTAACAGAATCCCACGATCAGCAGCGGCAAGAAGAAACCCAACGCAATCTGAGAGCTGGGCACCACAGTTTTCATCACACGTGCAGTTTGGTTCGACTTAAACATGAAAAAGCACACATAATTCTGGTCGTCACTGCTTAAAAAGCTGGATTCCATTGGGCCGGGTTGGTAACGCTCATAAAACATGAAGGTGGGCAGTGACAGCAGCAAGGCCAACAACCAGACGGCTGCGCAGACCAGATGGCTGTAAAGCAGAGTGCTTGAACGCAGCCGGTAGGAACGGCGGGCCTGTACGATGGCAAGGTAGCGATCTCCACTAATGCAAGCCAGGAGCAGCATGCCACTGTAGAGGTTCACGCTGTAGATGCCACGCAACAGCTTGCAAGACAAGTCCCCCATGGACCACCCGTGCTGCTCGCTGTAAATTATCAAAGGCAAGGCCACCACAAACAGGATGTCAGCGATGGCCACGTTCAGTAAGTACACGTCAGTCATGGACTTGGTTCGCTTGTAGAGAGCGTACGTCACAATTACGAGGGCGTTGCCAATGAAACCAGCTAAACAAATGATGGGGTGAACAAAAAAGTGGAGGAAGTTCTCCATGTCCTGTCTGCGGTCCATTGAACACGGTTCCTCTATATCAGTATAGAAGTCGGTGTAGTTGTAGTCTGTGCTGGTGTTTTCAAATTCATCCATTTTCTCCCTTTGAGACTGTAAAGAAAGTAAGAAAAAAAATCTAAATGAATTGGTGAAATTATTAATTTTATGGCAGAGTTCACTTGTCAAGATGAAGCTGCCTGAATGAAATTAACAAACCGTTAACTACGACTTTTGCCTCAATAAACTCCTAATTTGCTGCTTATTAATAGTTAGTAAGGTGGTTGTTAAGTTTAGTTACTGGGTAGGATTATGGATGTAGAATATGGTCATGCAAACTATGTGCTTTGTAAGTACTAATAAACAGCCAATATGTTAATAATAGGTATGCTAATAAGCAACTAGTTAATAGTGAGAATTGGTCCCTATACTAAAGTGTTACCGCTTGTTTAAATAATAAAGAGATTTGTTCCTAATTTTCCCTAAGAATGAGGAGGCAGACGTTTGTCATCATTTTGCCACTACCATATAATATTCTGTACAAATGTGAGTGTGAATTAAAAGACAGATTAGGGTAAATCCAACAATTCATTCCACACCAAGAAAAAGCTCTCAGTGCAAATGCTGCTTTGTACTTTGACATTTTACCCTTACAGAAAGAGGAAATCTGCAGAAAATCAGGTCACGTACAGATCAAAAGATTCAATGCATACAACAAATATTTACTGGCCATTAGTCCTGAACATGATGTTAGTTTAGAAAAGTGTAGCATTTCTCAACCAAAAGTACTTCTTTCTACGCATTCATAAGTTTTATAACAAGCATCAAGCATGAAAAACTAGGCAATTGATAACGTCATGCCTCATAGGTTCAAGAAAACACATCCAATTGTAAAAAACACAAAAATACAATGAAAAGCACTCTGCACTTACCATAAATCCAAACAATTTATAAATCAAATAAGCATCTTTGTAATGTTTGTATGTCACAGTTGTTTTATAAAGGCTGTCTTAATTAAATAAGAACACATATGGCGTGTCCGCTTAATGCACACAGGAAAGCTTAAGCATAAACATATTTCCAGGCAAGTTATTGTAGAGTTCTAGAGGACACATCGTACACACATGCCCTCTGCTGCCACAACTCAACATGAATTTGTTCTTTATGGGTATCCCACATACCAGTATACCTTCTACTTTTTTTCAAAAGGGTCAGGCTGCAGCCTTGCACTTGCACTCTCAGACACTTGCGCTTCCGCTAGCGACGTCACTTGCAGTCTTTATTTTTTATTTTGTTCTATTTTTTATTACTTTTTGTTTGAATCTCTCAATATTTTACAACAGTAGCCAGGTGGTGAAGACAAGAAAAAAGAAACTGAATTACAATCTTCACTTGCACTCTCCGCTACCTGCGACGTCACTTGCAATCGACACAAATCATGCGTGTTGCCAATGGAGACAAGAAGCTGTGGTGGTGATTAAACGATTAAAACTAATTTAGTACTAGCTGTAACATACAGGGTCCTGCAAGAAAAAGACAAGACCCTTTTGCAAATCCGTGGCCACAGAACAGCAGAATATGTCTGATATAAGTCTCTTGTTAAGCGTTTTCCTCCTGTAGAAAAACAAACACTTAACATGGCTTAATGTATTAAGATGCTATTAAAATATCAAATTAAATATACAGTTTATTAATATAATATGTATATAGTATTTTCCTCCCATTCCGCAAAACGTGGCATGATGTGGCATAATGGACTAAAAAGGCCAAACTCAGTATGCTCCTCTACATTATTAATATACATAACTAATATGTACAGGCAAGCAGGTGAGCCCAGAATAAACGCAACACGTTTCGTGTTGATCCTTTTAAAATCACTTAATGCATTTCATAATGCATGTTCATATTTGCTGGTCTGTATATACTTTGAGTCAACAACAAGAAATATAGGCTACTGAATTGTCTTTATCATCCGTTATTATGCCACATTAAGCGTTTTGCTGTAGCCTATGGGAGGACAAGTCAAAGTTTGCGCATTGTGTTCATGGCCATCTGCTTAACTTGTAGTACATTAAATAATAACTATATATCGAATTTGATCTTTTAATTGCACTTAATGTATCTTAATACATTAAGCCATATTAAATGTTTATGTTTTTCTACAGGAGGAGAGTTTTTAACAAGAGACTTTGTGCACTGCATTCATATTCTGCTGTGCTGTGGCCACGGATTTGCGGGTCTTGTCGTTTTCTTGCAGGACCCTGTATGTTATAGTACTAAATTAGTTTTAATCGTTTAATCATCACCACAGCTTCTTGTCTCCATTGGCAACACGCACGATTTGTGTCGATTGCAAGTGACGTCGCAGGTATCAGAGAACTCAGTATGCTCCTCTACATTATTAATATACATAACTAATATGTACAGGCAAGCAGGTGAGCCCAGAATAAACGCAACACGTTTCGTGTTGATCCTTTTAAAATCACTTAATGCATTTCATAATGCATGTTCATATTTGCTGGTCTGTATATACTTTGAGTCAACAACAAGAAATATAGGCTACTGAATTGTCTTTATCATCCGTTATTATGCCACATTAAGCGTTTTGCTGTAGCCTATGGGAGGACAAGTCAAAGTTTGCGCATTGTGTTCATGGCCATCTGCTTAACTTGTAGTACATTAAATAATAACTATATATCGAATTTGATCTTTTAATTGCACTTAATGTATCTTAATACATTAAGCCATATTAAATGTTTATGTTTTTCTACAGGAGGAGAGTTTTTAACAAGAGACTTTGTGCACTGCATTCATATTCTGCTGTGCTGTGGCCACGGACAACATAAAAAAGAAAAAAGACTGCAAGTGATGTCAATTGCGGAAGCGCAAGTGTCTGAGAGTGCAAGTCTGAGAGTGCAAGTGCAAGTCTGCAGCCAGACCCTTCTTTTTTTTTGCCTCCATGGCATTTAAATTGTAGCGCCGTTGGTCGCGTGGATCAATGTCATTTCATGTTGCAATTTCATTGGCTGCTGAGTAGATGCAGGTGCCACATTCACCCAGACAGTATTTGACAACTATATTTATTAAAAGTCGTGTTCATACAGGGACATCGCTGGATCTTGGCTGGGTAATTAATAGACAAGCATAAGCGATATAAGCAGCCATATGATGTCAATGATATGTTTATGATAATGATTCTTTTTTTTTTTTTATCTAGCAACTCTACCATTGATAGCTTAAAAAATGTAAAAATAATGAAATCAATAAAAATAAGGATAATAACAAAATAATGATAATGTTAAATAAATCCTTATTTCATAATTACATTTCACATATATATAAGCACTGAATGTAATTTATATATAGCGATACCCCTGGTTCATTTGATATTTTTCAGCAGTGGATCAAATATTGTTTGTACGAACAAAGCCAAGCTAGTTGTAATCAACACTTGTAACGAAAGTGACAAAAATAAATATGAAAAATTGCTATGTTCATAACATTGATTTTTTTGATCACATTTAACAAGACATTATTTAATAAATGTAACATTTACTCCGTTTTATTAAATGTGGTTGTGAGTCTTGATAATTTAAGGGAGCCATTTAAGATGTTGAAATCGATTATTACTCTTGTTTAATCCAAAGTGTGTGTGAATACAATGGTAGTTAACTCTGTAAAACTGGACTGACCACAGTATTCTGCTGCTGTATGAACATGAACAGCCCCAACTGGAGTAAACAGCCTGATTTTGCACCCATGGGTTAAGATGGATGCAGTGGGCTTGAATGGCAGTGTGATCACTCCATGCACACTCACTCATTGAGGCTAGTGCCCCTCCTCATTTGGGATAAGGATCGCCCTGACAGGCTTCCTTCCCTCTGCCAGTGCTGACTTCTCACGGGGGGGGACACATACAGAGCACAGACACAGTTACAGAAAGAGGGAAAGAGAGTGGCAGCTACAAAAAGCAAAAGAGGGACATAGTGCAACATACAACAAAGCTCCAAAATCTACCCGTTATCTGTCATAGTCAAAATCATACTAAAATGCGAATACAAAATGAAAACAGGAAGTACTTACTCTTTCTGACCTGAATAAGGCTTATCTGCCAAAGATAAACCACTGTTTTCACGTGCAGCATTAAGAGACAACAGTAAAAAGGAGAAGATACTGGTCAGAAAAAATAAAAGCACTTCTCTGTATTTTAACTAAGAGCAGAATTGTGACTTAAGGGTGGGAGCCTGTCATATTTACACAGTAAAAAATGAACTACAGTTATGAGCTTCAAAAACATGAAGAACCCAGATCTATGCTTCTGAAATTAAAGTCAAAGGTGCCAGATCATTTCGTTTTTACTTGCTCTTTTAGTCTCAGTAGAACATGTGGGCACTGAAACAGTCCTTGTTCAAAGCTCTGAATGGAAATCTGCTCCCACTATGAGTGTCAAACTATGACAAGTGACATTTCACACTGACGTTTCTATTTTAATTTTTATATATAGCATTTACAAATTGCTTTTCATTATCCTTTTGCTAAATGGTATTCTTTCTGGCATTAAAAAAACAACAAAAAAACATGCCATTGGACAGTTTACACTTGGCAATATTTGTAGAAATAAAAAAATGTTTGTAGTACTTTATTGTTACATTTAACTAAAACTGTAAACAAATTAAATAAACACTATTTGTCAATTTAAGTAGTGATTTATATATTCACACTACTGTTTTTAATTTCTTCATTTTATTTTTAAGTGGCATGCCTATACATCAACAGTTTGTCACTCGTGTCACCTCAAATCTTCAACTTTCGATTTGAGAGAGAGAGAAATAAAGAAAACATGCAGAGCAAATGCAGAGAAGGAAAGAAATGGAGAAGGGCAAAGGTAAAAAAAATAAATAAAAACACACAATTGTGTTTGTAGTCACTGCACTACTCCTGTAATTTTGGTTGCTGGATTTTCCTTTTGACAATATCAGGTAATGGTGTTAAGGTTGAAATGTTATGGTATAATAATGGCCACATTCACCCAGACAGTATTTGACAACTATATTTATTAAAAGTCGTGTTCATACAGGGACATCGCTGGATCTTGGCTGGGTAATTAATAGACAAGCATAAGCGATATAAGCAGCCATATGATGTCAATGATATGTTTATGATAATGATTCTTTTTTTTTTTTTATCTAGCAACTCTACCATTGATAGCTTAAAAAATGTAAAAATAATGAAATCAATAAAAATAAGGATAATAACAAAATAATGATAATGTTAAATAAATCCTTATTTCATAATTACATTTCACATATATATAAGCACTGAATGTAATTTATATATAGCGATACCCCTGGTTCATTTGATATTTTTCAGCAGTGGATCAAATATTGTTTGTACGAACAAAGCCAAGCTAGTTGTAATCAACACTTGTAACGAAAGTGACAAAAATAAATATGAAAAATTGCTATGTTCATAACATTGATTTTTTTGATCACATTTAACAAGACATTATTTAATAAATGTAACATTTACTCCGTTTTATTAAATGTGGTTGTGAGTCTTGATAATTTAAGGGAGCCATTTAAGATGTTGAAATCGATTATTACTCTTGTTTAATCCAAAGTGTGTGTGAATACAATGGTAGTTAACTCTGTAAAACTGGACTGACCACAGTATTCTGCTGCTGTATGAACATGAACAGCCCCAACTGGAGTAAACAGCCTGATTTTGCACCCATGGGTTAAGATGGATGCAGTGGGCTTGAATGGCAGTGTGATCACTCCATGCACACTCACTCATTGAGGCTAGTGCCCCTCCTCATTTGGGATAAGGATCGCCCTGACAGGCTTCCTTCCCTCTGCCAGTGCTGACTTCTCACGGGGGGGACACATACAGAGCACAGACACAGTTACAGAAAGAGGGAAAGAGAGTAGCAGCTACAAAAAGCAAAAGAGGGACATAGTGCAACATACAACAAAGCTCCAAAATCTACCCGTTATCTGTCATAGTCAAAATCATACTAAAATGCGAATACAAAATGAAAACAGGAAGTACTTACTCTTTCTGACCTGAATAAGGCTTATCTGCCAAAGATAAACCACTGTTTTCACGTGCAGCATTAAGAGACAACAGTAAAAAGGAGAAGATACTGGTCAGAAAAAATAAAAGCACTTCTCTGTATTTTAACTAAGAGCAGAATTGTGACTTAAGGGTGGGAGCCTGTCATATTTACACAGTAAAAAATGAACTACAGTTATGAGCTTCAAAAACATGAAGAACCCAGATCTATGCTTCTGAAATTAAAGTCAAAGGTGCCAGATCATTTCGTTTTTACTTGCTCTTTTAGTCTCAGTAGAACATGTGGGCACTGAAACAGTCCTTGTTCAAAGCTCTGAATGGAAATCTGCTCCCACTATGAGTGTCAAACTATGACAAGTGACATTTCACACTGACGTTTCTATTTTAATTTTTATATATAGCATTTACAAATTGCTTTTCATTATCCTTTTGCTAAATGGTATTCTTTCTGGCATTAAAAAAACAACAAAAAAACATGCCATTGGACAGTTTACACTTGGCAATATTTGTAGAAATAAAAAAATGTTTGTAGTACTTTATTGTTACATTTAACTAAAACTGTAAACAAATTAAATAAACACTATTTGTCAATTTAAGTAGTGATTTATATATTCACACTACTGTTTTTAATTTCTTCATTTTATTTTTAAGTGGCATGCCTATACATCAACAGTTTGTCACTCGTGTCACCTCAAATCTTCAACTTTCGATAAAAAAAAAAAAAGCCTTCCTGTTACTTTGTCAGTGTGTCCGGTCCACAAGAGAAGACATAATTGATGATTTCTCTTAGTGAAGGTATCCTTACCAGCCATAGGTCTTTTGAGGTTTAGGAAGAGGATCATCAAAGAACGAGTCTCCTTCATCCTCATCCTCCAGTGCTCTCCTCAGTGTGGTGGGAAGATTTTTCCCATCACCTAATCCCTCCTCTGACCCTTCAGACACTTGAACAGACCCTCTGTTCTTCTGAGGCCCCAGTGTTTCACCAGGTCTTCTGTCTCCGGCCTATGGGAAAGTCGCAATATTATCAACATGCTCTAATAACACCACAAGGCCATAGGCGCCAGATTTCACCTAATGCAATCAACATGAACAATAAGCATAATCTGCTATGTTCGTGTAAAGTTACTGCCTGTACGATTCAGTTTGGAACCAACAGCTGCCCATTTTAGATTAAGTGCTATGTGTACAAATGTAAGGTTCCATAATGAGCTAAAATAATGAGATAAAAATCAAAGAAAAATTTGTTCCCTTTGACCAAGTGCTTTTAAAACATGACATTCTCAAGTAAAATTGATCTGGAAATTCCTAAGAGTAGACGATTAAAAGATTCAAAGTAAAGAGCATCTCACATAACTTACAAGAAAAGTAGGTTGTTAAAAAGACTGGCCCACGTTAAGAAAAATGCTGCGGCATTCAACCCACTCACAAATCGATCTATTACTTTGTATAGGTCAATTTTCAAAAGAAAGGTTTTACTTGAGATGAAATGTTTCAGAATTAGTGTACACATCCAAAGGCAAGGGGTTAGACGACACATGCTGAATCTGGTTAATAAAAAGGTGTTAGTAAGTGTTAATTCATTTATTTTCACAATAGTATTGGGTGATTAGTGAAAGCCTTGTCAGTATCTTTGCTCTACATCTTTTTGCAACGACTGATCTCATTTGTATTGTGTATTAGCATAAATCTGCTCTGCAATAGCCAGTTTACTACATCAAGTGCTAAGATGGTTCCAATTCAACCATGGGCTACGTTTGGCACCATTTCACATATAAGCGCTTTTTGCATCCTGAATATAAAGCAGTAATTTAGTCTTGGGACATGAACTTCCACTTGCACATGTGATAACAGTAACAGGAAGGAGCACAAATCATAATTTTGTCACATCTACCTAACAACAGCCAAATGTGTTTAGACACCACCCATTTATGAATCATTTGTGAGACCTAAAGGAAGCCACATGGTTGAGCTGATCAAAAGCTCCTGTATCAGAGCTGACGCACGTGTGCTTTACCTTTGGGTCAGCCTTTTCTTCCTGCGCTGAACTGTGCTTAACAAATCCTTTATACCTGGGTATCTGAGCACCAGAATACAGCCATCAGCTTCCCTTTTACAACAATGACATGCTACCCTCACTAAATCATACACGGATATGGATGAAGTGAACAGAATAAAAATATATGCAAAACAAAAAAGGAGCAACTGTTGTAGGATACAAACACACACAAAAAAACAACTACTACATGCAACAAAAATGCATGCAAAATTGAATCTGACACATGGAGTAACTTTCATAAAGATTTGGAAAATTTGAATCAAAATATCTATAAGTATACATTTATTGTATGTTTGAATTTCCCAATGGTATAGTATGTAAAAAACATATATGATGCTTAAATGTCATTTAATGTAATTTGGAGAGACATAGGAAGATGGAATTAATTTAAGAATTAAGAAATTGTTTTGTTCATTTAGGGCCATAATAAAAACAATTCAAATTCTTAAAGAAAATGTATATAAGAATCCTCATCTAAAATAATCATTTGGTTGCATAAAAATTCTTGATTAATTAATTGATTAATTATATGTTTGAAATTCCCAATGGTATGGTATGTGGAATAAATATAGTGAATAACTGTCAAATAATTCATTTAGAAGAAACCATATATATTTCTTATCAATGAAGTAATAATTTTTCTTTAAATATAAATTAATATATATATAATTTTTTATTTATTCATTTATTTTTTAAGAGCTTAATATATGATGTGTGACACTACATTCTGTGCAGGTCATAGGCACTTGCCTACACTCTGGTAAAATCCCTTTCCCCTTTGTGAGTCAAACTTCAGTGACTGCATGAATTTGATATTGTGCATCACCCACCATCTAAGATATAACCAACGATAAAAGATATGCTGATAAATCAAACATGAGACACCCAATACTACACCACACATCTTCTATTCATAAATGAATGATGTTCTGGGGTTCAACTTAAGGAGCTGGATGAAATGAAAGTAGAATGAATGGAAATTGTGCATGCAATAAAACTAACATTTTTAATAACATGTTGCCGGTTTTGCACATGAACAGGCTAACAAAAGCCAGCTGTGGCTTTGTGGCTTGTTATTTTTTACATATACAGGTAGGTGAAAGACAGAATATTACACCCGACAAAAAGTAACTCATTTGATACACAAAGAATATCAGAGGTTATAATCTTGACAGAAGGTGAGAGGAAAGTGTGTGAGAGAAAGATAAGCAGAGATAGAGAAACAAACAAAGAAAGACAGGAAGTCAGTTTACCTTGCTGGCGGAAGACGAAAAGATTCTATCTTCAGTAGATTTACTTGAGGAGTAAAGTGCATCGCTACTCTCACTGGTAACCTATAAACGATATTCCAGGCCTCATTACAGAAATCACAAAAAAGGAGTGCTAAAAGAAATGGCAACGTGTTCAAGGTTGCTCACCACACTTCGACACTGTATGAAAAAGTATTTGTACATTCCCAGGAAGTCCTGAATGTCTACAGCTACGTAAAGTTAAGAAAGAAGTGGCAGACAAAACTCCATTAGCAAATATTGCAGTTTATTTGTCAATGAATGATAAGACTTCCAGACACATGAAATTTGCATCCCTTAAAATAATGGAAAACTAAACAAGATCACAAATACTTACTATTGCTCGTGTCCTTGCCTTTGGCTCTAAATTCCTCAGTGACGTAACTGTCCAGCATGTTTCTTTTTATTTGCAGATACAAAAAAATAAAAAATAAAAATATTAGTCAACTAATAATATTAGTCATATTTGTCATTAAAAATACGTGGCCATTCATAGTAACTACAACCAAAATGGCTAAAACTACAGTGCATTAAGTACAATCAATTGATCTTTAATAATGATTAAGAAACATTTATTCTGAAATACACTCTTTCCCAAGTCATGAGAAAGGCCATGACCACAACGTCAAGAAAGTCAACCAGACAGGATTACAGAAGAGCAAACCAACAATGTGGGAAGATGTAAAGAGTTTCAGTCATTACAAAAATGAGGGTTTCAGTACCAGTAAATTCAGACATTTCCTAGAGTTTGTGGCATTCAGAGTCCACAATGCTGAAACAAACCTGCTGAACTGGGGAAAAAGATCAGCGAAAACGACAACAACAGCATCTCTGTTGATCTCACCACTTCTGTTCTGTAAAATCAAAAGATATAAATTACTCACAAAGGTTTTTATATTTATATATTAATTTAGCTATTAATTACCAAATTATTATTATATAATAATTAAAATGACTTATTATGACCATAGTAGTAATACAATTAATAACACAATAATAACTAAAAACGAATGAATGTTACCGTCAAAATAGTAGCATTTCAAAATGAACAATTATATATTAAATAGTATATTGTATGAATTATTATTTAATTAATAATACAAATAATAATAAAAGTTACCTTGTCATGACTGTCAAATTTCTTGCGGGCATCAGCAATTTGACGGGGAAACAATTCCTAAAAACCATTCACAAATAATACTACAATCATTGCAGATTACACTAAGAAGAAAATCAATATATGTGACCCTGGACCACAAAACCAGTCTTAAGTCGCTGGGGTATATTTGTAGCAATAGCCAAAAATACATTGTATGGGTCAAAATAATCGATTTTTCTTTTATGCCAAAAAGCATTAGGATATTAAGTAAAGATCATGTTCCATAAAGATATTTTGTAAATTTCCTACCGTAAATATATCAAAACTTAATTTTTGATTAGCAATATGCATTGCTAAGAACTTCATTTGGATAACTTTAAAGGCGATTTTCTCAGTATTTAGATTTTTTTTTGCACCCTCAGATTCCAGATTTTCAAATAGTTGTATCTCGGCCAAATATTGTCCTAAACCATACATCAATGGAAAGCTTATTTATTCAGCTTTCAGATGATGTATAAATCTCAATTTCGAGAAATTGACCCTTATGACTGGTTTTGTGGTCCAGGGTCACATTTAACTCCTATATTATTTGAAATTCTTAGATTATTTTAATATTTAAAATGAATATACAATTTTATTTTTTTAATACAAATTTGTAATATACATCACATGCTTGGGACAGTCATGTTGTGCACTTACAAACAAGACAGGATGTCACAATGAACAATTATGAAACCATAGCATTTGAAGTCTCGTCTGACATGACAGTAGTCATGCAGCGCTATGGGCTGGATTCAACAAATGCACGTAAGGTGCCCACAAAAAAAGACAAAATGTCTAGAAGTAGGACAAGCTTGTTTTGCACAAGTATCTTAACAGGAAAACCTTTTTTTGCAGCAGCACTTAAAGATGTTCATTTACATCATCCTTCCCTTGTGTGACCTGAATAATTCGCCTGGGGTTTGTGATGTGTGGGTAAACTGGTTATACGAATCAACCCGAGATGTGCTCTCCAACCACAAGTGAAATAAGTAGGTTAGCACTATTACTAGTCTGTGACTGGATCTGTTCTTGAGAGTGCATTAACCCTACCTGTGCTTACTGTATGTGTGGGTACAAAAACAGGTTACAGAGAGATCACGACAGATAACATGGACTGGACCTGAGCCAGCCAGTGGTGGGAAAAGTACCTTGGGAAAAGTTCTCTCAGTCAACCGATCTCCCTGAGAAATGGAAGACAGGAGAGAGAGAAAGTCATGCTATCTGAAAGACATGAATTCATCCGATTGGCTGAAATGCAGAGCATCAAATATCACCTCTGTGAAAATGGAGGTCTTGTCCTTATGCCGGCCCCTCTTCACCAACTCTAGCAGGAGAGGGGTGTTTTTATTCACCTCCGATTCCGATATGCCAAGCTCTTTAGACAGAGTTTCACGACTGTCAATCCCATTGAGCTGAATAACACATAGTAGGGTACGTTAGTTCAGATGAAAGAGATATGAGGTCACAAAGGACATAGCACAGCACATTCAGATCAATCAATCAAAAAATATTTAAATGAATTTCTGAATGACAGCTTCACACTGTGTATCACTTACAGCGTTGTATATTATATAACACTGACATACCGTACTGATTTCAGGTTGAAACACCGCTAGGGTGAAGTCTAAATTGAAGACTTGCAGGAAGTCAATGATAAGACCTGCTACCAAGCGACCTACAAGAAGAGAAATGTAAGCAAAACATCAGATCAAAAATAAATAAATTTAGCAGAAAATCATGTAGTGTATGATGAGCACAATTTTTTTTAGCTTTAAGGCCCGTTCACACCAAGCACGATAACTATAAAGATAACGATAAAGATATAGTTATAAAAATCGTTCTCAATATTAAAGAATAGCAGAGTCCACACTACAACTATAACGATAAAGGCACAGAGAATCGATATCGTTGGAATCACTTTCAGAACGATTTTTTTCCAGCTGATGAACGATAGAAACATTGACAGCCAATCAAATTCCATCCTGCTGTAACGAGTGTGGTGTGGACGCTAATATCGTTTTCTTTATAGTTATCGTTCTTGGTGTGAACGGGGCTTTAGTCTATGATTCCATCCAGTCAGAGAATATTTAACATGTTTGATATTTTGAGCTGATTTTAGAACACATCTTGTCATTTCTCGTGCGTCTCCTAGCAAAGAGATGCATGTGTCCGCATGAGCTTGTTGTGTTCAGAACATCCTGAAAGTCTGAGTGTTTGATCATTAAGTGTATGATATCTGTTTTTTTCTGTAACCATTTGGCAAGTGTATTATGCCTAGTGTTTTAAAATCTGTCCAGACTTTAAAAATCGTGTTGTGTATCACAACCCAAATCACCATCACATCAAAACAAGACAGACAAAACTAATAAGGACAGACCTTTTTTTAATGGAATTCATACTTACCATCCTTTGTGTTGAGGGACTTTTTCAGGTTTTCATTCACAAGAGGTGATTTATTCTATTTAAAAGAGTTGACATCTATATGACACACTGAATCTTGCACAAGTAAAATAATGTTCATGCAAAAACATACCATTAACATAAAAGCATTTAATCAGCAAAAGATACAATTTATGATGAAATTAAAAAAAATGCATTAAAACTATTTATAATTACCTCAACTTTGTCCTGCTCTTCTAAGGCAAGAAAAACAGCTGCACGTAGCTCTGCCTGTAAAGAGAGAGAGAGAGAGAGACCTATCTTCACTTCATATGTCCTTTATTCAGACATGTTTATAACAGTACGGCACCAAACAGACTCATGGAGGATCAGAACAGCTCAAAACTCAGATATGTTACTGAAGCTGCAGTTAGTAAAGAAGCACTTTTATGTACAGATACGGTATAACTGCAGTTATAAAAGGTACAGCTGAGCTCATTAAAGGCATCATATTACAGGTTAAACCAGATTACTTGTTGCCTGATCATTTTAGATGACTCCCTCAATACCTGTGAGTCCAACACCTTTCCAAAATAAAATAAAACAAGACTTTGGAGCCTTGCCGGTTTATTAGAAAACATGTTGTTTAATATTAATACAGCCAAGATAAACAATGGCATCCTAAGTCTCATCTTTAGTAGCTGAGGGTTATATAACAGCGCAGTGTTATCACTCAATGTTGTCACACCAGTGGCTGTTGTCCATTTGTTGCCCATAACAACTTTAGCATCACTATGCTAACAAACACTTCGCTAAAAAAACAAAAACAAAATATGTCCCGTATGAGACAGGAACTATTCCAGCCTCATAATGGCTTAAAACGTGTTTCGAAACAGCCAGGACAAATACCTTAATTTTATTCAAAACACCGCTGTTTTCCAAGTTTTGGATCAGTAGATCTCTGAGTTCCGTGTCCTCTTCTGTCGCAGACATCTTCAGTTTGTGTCATGTGACTATAGGTTGGAAACCTGCGCACCCTGGCGGCTATCCACAGCATTGCACACTGTGGACCTATGCTTGTGCTATATTCCAACAACCGGTTCAAGATTTGCCTGCTCTGATTCGGCAGTTAAGTTAGTCCCTCTTGCCATTAGGACGGATGGGAATCCTAACAAATAGGCCTATTAGACCTGGAGCTCGCCTAGGCTCATGAATATGAAAAAGGTCATTGTCAAGATGCGTGATGATTGTCCTGCGGGGTCTCGATTAATGTTCTAATGAATATTCATGAGTCAAGCCTATAATTTACTTCCAAGTAAAAATAACTGTAGCTAGTTTTAATTGCTCGTGTCAAACGTTTTCAGGGACTACTTCCATTTTTTCCATGACAAAAAGTCAGCAATTTTGACTTTAAAAGCTCTGTATATTTCTGAAAAAGCACATTTCAAAAACATAAAATACAAAATATATCTTTGTATTTTACAATAACTAAAAATCATTTCCCCCCCTACAAACTAGAGGGCAAACTTACATATGCTATGGGTCATTCATGTTATGTATTATGTACCTTCTACTCTCTAAAAATGTATAGCCAGTGTTGTAATGCATTTATAGATAAATATTTATAAATATTATAAACATTTATAAATAGAAAATCTTTCTATAAAGTGTATACCAGACTATCAGTGACTATTAATTTTAGCTAGAACATATATTTGTAAGACAATTAACAAGATATCTAACCTGTTTCCTATCTGGCTGTTTTGTCATTATTAAGGGCTATTCAAAAGTATTTGAGTGTTTGAGTATTCTGACAAAATAAACACATTTCCAAGCAACTTAAAAATCTTTAGTATTTCCTTAGATGTTTTGTCAGCGTAACATAATTTCTGCAGGGCTATTTTGTAAGGGACTGTAATGACTGATTTTTCCATCTCTGCTGCCTTTGAAGCATGATCAGTCACATGACATGAACACCCTTGACCAAAGATGATAGCCTCCAGGTCACGTAGCCTACTGTACATGCAACTGCCACAGAGATGAATGCATATTCATTTTTTTTCATTTTTTTACTCCAGGTATCATAGACCTCCTTGATGCAAACCAATGTAACATCATTCAAAAATGCAATTACGAACATATATGTTGAATAAAAGGGACATGTAATGTGGCAACACAAGTTTTATTGAGTAAGAGATGTCAACACCAGCATGATAAAAATTGTACAAATTTCACAATTTCAAAATTAAATATCACTGCAACTTGTGATCTTAAACACTTAGAGCAAAAAAAAAAAAAAAGTATCATACCAACAGAAATCATGCCATGTGGTTGAAAAATAAAATAAGAGCGAAAAAGATAGCTAAAGAGCTGGATAGAGGAAGAGAGCAAGAGACATTAAGAAAGCTATGCTTCTTTCTTTATTTTTTTATAGAAAAATCCTGGTTTAAAATGGTTAATTAAAATCCATTTGAAATGGAAACTTGTAACCTGATGATTTCACAATTATTAATAAGAAATGTATTCTGCATTCAAGCATGTGACACCATAGATAGAGTTTTCTATTTAAATAGTCACAGATAACCTTTGAAGTAGATAGTACAATATGTGCCAACTGAAAATGAGCAGCGGAATTGTGCTTAAAATCCCTTTTCCTGTCAAATCAGTTATGATAGTTGATGAGAGGATATTGTATTTTGCTATCAGTGTTGAAAAAGCGTTAGGCTATCTTGGAAATAAGCTGCATACACAAAGCTTTCAGAGAGAGACATGTGCTGTGGTTGGGGAAGAGATGTCTGGATATTACAGAATGATAAATAAGAGTGACTAGCACCATTTGCATGAGCTCTCGGAAAACATAATGCTAGCCGTAATAAAAATACAAAATCATAGATTTAAGAAACAAAGCCCCACGTAGAGCATCAGCAACAACCAGAGTCATTTCACACTAAAAATCACTGTGACAGTTTGGACTCATGCTCGATTAAATATTTAGCTCACAAATCAGCCCTATTTGTGACTTTGCTTGATGCTTTGAATGGGCTTTGACTAAGTGAAGATGAACAGGGGGTTCCCAGACTATAATTGTACATGTCCTTAAGATATTATGGAGTAGGCCTAATATGAACTGGTCATGTCAGTAATCAACCCTCCGAACGCCTGAAACTGCCCACACGCTACTGTAGCCTAATCTGGACCTGTGCCACGCCGTTTCATCGTTTAATTATCAAAAATGCATACTGCTTCAATTTCCATAATTCTTAGAGCTTAAAGTGCCACTGACGTCTCAGAAACGTAAAAAATAAGCAATGAAAGTGAATCGCAGGTTACCACAGAAGGCAAGCGGACCTCTCTTAATACTGTATATAACTGATTGGAGTTCACTAATTGTAATATGATGAGTTTGCATTGCTGATATAGTCGTATTTGTTGTGCACTCGTGACCAGATGAATCTCTACATGATTGTTTGGACAAAATCTACAAGACAAGTGCTCCATTACTATGACACAATGACGTATGGATGGTGACATTAACCCTGTATATCCAGCACACCGATAAACTAACATTCACACACAGATTTACTTCCTTCAAAGGAAAAAAAAAAAAAAACTTCCCACAATTCAAACGTCTGGGCACCTCCTTGGTCTCCTGAAACAAATAAAAACACCAAAACATGGAAACAAAGGTGTCCCTGTGCAAAATCGAACATGAGAAATGTTAAATCATAATGCATTCATCCTTTTGGACTTGATCACCCATGTGTAAACCCTAAAACATGACTGTATTAAAAGATTTATATAAAACGTAATACTTTACATTTAGTAAAAAGATTCATCAGCTTTCTACTATGGTAAGAATAAGAAATTGCATATACCCAAACTTTTGCATCCCATATCTAAATAAATGATTGATTCGTTATCATATATTGCTGATTCTATCATACTACCTACCACTAACATTTTACGATCATTAAATTAATAATTAATGTTGGATTGTCTCCTTGAAATTTTCTGTAGTTGTTGGCCTCAACCAGCCGGGTGTTACATTTAGAGAATGGACTTTGAAAATATCTGAAAAGCTTTGTAATATTTCTTGGGATTTACACCAGTAAGTTTCCGTGTCATGATGTTTGCATTCACAATTTTTTTTCTATTTTTCCATCTATTTTGGGAATTAAAACGAGAGAAAAGTAGAAAGAAAAAAACAACTAAACAAACAAGCAAAAATAAAAACAATACACATACTGCATTAGAGTGCCCACACTGACCACTATAAATATGATTTCAGAACCAAAAGACAATGTTTCTCAATATTTTTACAAAATGTACCCAAAATCGAACCACAAAAATGAACCACTGTACACCCATTGAACAGCCTGCACAGCACATTAGTTCCCATTACTTCCATAAAGAGAAGCTCAGATCGAAGCTGATTGCCCTTACATTCCCTCAGTGTATCCCCTCTGTACCTCTTTAGATTTAAAATAATGGATGGTTTTTGTTTACAATTAATAAATACATATACACTAAAATGTGCATACATTAGCAGCTATAAACAGTACATCACATTATGTCAGGTCATATGAAAAATTTACAAAACATGAATGTTCCTTAAAACATTTGCCATTGGCAGTCGTCATCTTAAAGCAAGGCAACAAATAAGTTATGTATTTTTTGTTAAAAGCATAACAGAATCATAAATAATGCCAAATAATACAATAAATTACAGCAGCAAAAAAAATCATACTAGTTCTCCATACTTTTTACATGATGGGTTTCTTTTGTTTCTTAACGCTCAGATCACATGACCCCATTACTCGGCCAATAATAGCAAAGCTACACTTGGATGCCTTGAACCGCTTGCTTTATGTTCTCCAAGAGGACCTTGTTCTCCGGGCTCTGGTACTGGTCCTGGTGAGTATACATATCTGTCAAAGTGCTCACATAAGTGTCAAAGTTTTGCTCGTTCATCGGCTCCTGTGGAACAGATTGGGATCATTGGAGGTCGAAAAACAAACCAAGCATAATTTGTTCAATCAAACACACAATCAAGGCTTAAGACAGAAAGGGAAGGGGAAAGAGGAGATATTTAGGGAGGAATGAACCCACCAAGCTGCCTTTAAAGCTAAATATAAGCTAGGGTTTTAGAGAAATTACATCTGAAATGCAGGGCTTGACCAATCACATTAAAATGGTCACCAAATCGCTTGATTTAAGTCTACACTGTCTATAAAAATATATATCTGATGGATAACAAAAATTAATGCACATACATTATGTATGCATGCACTGGTGTGAATTTCATGCTCATGAGTATGTAGGTAATACTGGCATTCACAAGTGATATCAAACAGATCGCCATGAATAGCAGACAGATATCGATGAGCATCACTGTGCCTGATAAAATAATGTGTTTTACGATAATAACATGAGTTTACTACCAAAAATAAATATGGCTCATATTGCAACCCCAGCTTTCTTATTGCTATTCCCTGAAGTGGATTATGTCAATATGTGTGGCACTGATACACTCTATGGACCTTCGTGATGCATACACATCGTACTGTTACAAAAGGGGGAGGACTAGGGGGAGGAAAATGATAGTGAGGAGAAGGATAAAGTTAGACTATGGAAAATAAATCTCTTACTCTGTGGGGCATCTGTAAACAGCAGTAATTTTTAACAGGGGCCTCTTTCAGTGGCATCGGTTTCTACAGAAGGGAGAGGTGTAGAGAAAAGACTATTAGCCTGGCTAAAAGCCAGAGGTCAGTGGTCTCAATAAAACTGACATACTTGACTTTACAAGTGGAAGTACAGAAGACCAAGTTCTGCTTGAGAGGCATGACACATGAACAGGCAACAGTCGTCTGATGTTAGTGCAGCTTGAGGACCACTCTAAATAGCATCCATCAACAGTGGGGGTGGAGAATTCAGGAGCCATATTCAGGAAGACATGTTTCAGTTGTTTACTAACATGGCTGTCACATTTGAACGGGGCTTGTCCAATCGTGCCCCGGCTCAATGTGTATGTGAAGGCACTGTGATTCGATCGTGTGGGAGAATCTGATCCACAGCGGCCATGTTGTTACTCAACTGAAAAGCAGTTGTTGGAGTGGAGGTTGTTTTTCTACAATGGTCTATAAAGGGGAGTGACCTCAGCACAGAAGCATATGGAACCGCGAGGAACTCAACAACAGACATAAAGAAGCAGATGGGAGAAACAATAGAAACCGGAATTTCATCCCTACTGTCTGAAATGCAAACTCAGGCCCTGGCTTTCAACAAGAGGCACTCTATAGTCTAAAAGACTATTCTAAGCAGATAAACATTTATTGATATATTAACAAACTTTAATAACTATTATGAATTGATTCAGATTTTTGCGATTGTAAATAACTATCAAACATTTTTATCCTGACTTCACTGATATATATATATATATATTGTATATATATATATTCTTTTACCCTTACACTCTTAAAAATAAAGGTTATTTTATCAGCATTGATGGTTCCATGAAGAACATTTAACATCCAAGGAACCTTTCCATTCCACAAAAGGTTCTTTATAACGGAAAAAGGTTATTCAGACTATTTAAATATTCTTCATATTTAGAAAAAAATAACTGTTTACTGAAAGGTTCTTTAGGGAATCCAAAATAGCTCTTCTATGGCATCAGTGTGAAAACTCCTTTATTTTTAAGTGTGTATGTGAGGCCACATGTCTTTTGGCTCTTACCATGTGTGGAAGCTGGATGTTGGCAAGACTGTTGATGAGGGACTGGCTGAGGTTGGCGAGCTCATGCAGCAGCGAGTCGTTCTGCTGCTCTATGGTCTTGTTTTCTTCCTCGATGGACTTCAGGTTAGTCTCCATGGTGGTGATCTGGCAGGAGGGAGAAAGAGAGACAAAGGCATCTCTGTGACTGAACGCATGGCCAAAGCCTGATGTGATAGATGGCAACTGCTCTTACTTGAGTCCTTAATTTTATCATGTCTGACTCTACTTGATTGTTCGACTCGTTCAGGTCTTTGATTTCTTCATCCAGTTGTTTAATCTCCTCGTCATTTTCAATGCCTGGAAGGGAACATTGAGAAATTCAATGTAAAAAATGCCACTGATGGCAAGTAATTTAAATGATATAAAATGACATACCTTTACTTGCTCTCTGTTTGATTGTGAGCATTTCAACCCCGGTCATCCTTGCCTTCTTCATAGCAGATGTGGCACGGGGACAACCGGATAGACTACCGATGTGTAAAAACAAAAACAAAAGAAATAGATCATTTTAATTATCCAATTTAAACATTCTACTGATGACAAAATGTAACATAATTTTAAAGGGGTAAGAAAATAATTGTGCAATATTGTGCATTTTTTCATTTAGTTTATTGGCTAAACTTGATTTACTTTGCAAATCAAACCCTTTCCTCAGGTTTTGAGAATGTATGTAGAAAATATGCCTGCTGCATTAAAACTGCTTAAAGGGAATTTTTTTTAACTGATTCACATGCATTTATTGCTTCAAAGTATTCGAAAGTACAAACTCACTGTAAAATATAATTTTTGTAATCAGCATCTTTGTTCTCAAATAAAATATTTAAACAACCCTTAAACAAGATACATTTACCAGCAGAACTTGATGACAATAAGACATGTTTTAGAGAATATATCTTGAATTAATAGTATTTTTGTTTCTTACCCCACTGGCTAATTGTTTTTCTTATTTTAAGAATAAACTTGAGATGCCAAAAGGGTACCATTTTTATATTTTCAAAGTTTTATTAATTTTGCCATGTGCTTTTGTCATTTTTATTAGTTAAAAAAAAATTTACATTCAGATTTAATTTATTTTATTTTACTTTTAGATTTAGTTAATTTAGTACTTTAAACTTATTTATTTCAGTTAGTTGCCAAAGCAACATATCTAGTTTTCATTCAAGTTTTTATTTTCTAATATTTATATTTTATTTTATTTCAGCTTTTATTTCAATTACCGAAAGCAATTTTTCAATAGTTTTAGTTTTAGTTAACAATAACAATAATTTTACTTAATAATAAGTTAATCATTTTACTTCTCAATAAAATATATCTTGTTTTAAGAATGCTGAGATATTTAGATTAAAATGAATGCAAAAATACTGATTAAGAAAATGATTTCTTGCTATTTAGTGGCCTGAAACGCTCATACACTCATGTACCTCCGGTGGGTGAGGAAGCTGCCGCTGATGTGGCCTGAGCCATCGCAGCCTGGGGTGGGGCAGGCCATGCCGTCTGTCTTGCCAGACTTCCAGGAGAAAGGCGCTCCATTCACATAACCATCTTTCTGACGCTTGGCGGCCAGTGGGCAGCCGGATGCACTGCGGTGGGATGCATACTTTCCTGTCACATGACCCTGGCCATCACAGCCTGGCACAGGACACCTAAAGACATTGGGCATGGCAGAGACGAGTTCACACACATAAGCACACACACATAGTGAAGTTCCTTCTGCAATTGTCCTGAGTAGTCGATTTCGACTTCAGTCCTCCTGTAAGTTACTACAAACAATATTCAACTTTCAGTCACTTTGAATAGTTGTAGGAATTAAAAAAATGCACCTGATTGGCTCCTGGTCCTCCTTGTCCTCCTTACTGTGCATTATTTTAATACCACTCTTCTTTGCCCGGGGACAACCTGACAGACTTCAGAGCAAGAAACACATTTACCAAAAAATGCCAAGGGCTTCTCTTTGCACTTCTTTGAATCCACTAGTGGCCAAAACGTTACGTGAAGTATTAAATAAAATTTTTAATGTGCATATTTGTGAATCTTCACCTTCTGTGTGAGGCATAGTTGCCTGTGATATGCCCAGAGCCATCACAGCCAGGAGTGGGACACCTGCAAGCAATGAAATCATGAAACAGATTAGTGTAACCTGCAGACAGACCTCATTTTGAGGGTCAGCTGAGGTGCCGTGTAAACACGAGAGCGCGAGGGCTTACTTCAGATCCTGGGAGTTAGATGCCATCATACCACGCATGCCCTTGTCAGCCAGTTGGCAGCTTGATAGCCTTAAGAAAGGATTTTAGAAGCATGAGGCATGGTTTACTAGAACAGCTGCATTATTAAAGCTACTAAGGTGCACTCAGGGTCACTTTTTTCATTAAAAAGTTATATATGCAAATAAATGAATTGTACTTTTTAATAAGTTGAAAATAATATAAACTTTTATTAGTAGCCTTAAAAAGCTGTTTTATTGTACATGGATGCTAAGATCATATCACCAGCCGAATAATACTGACTTGATCTTGAACTATTTAATCATGGCTGCCTGCCAATAGTGCATTTTTACAAATGACATTCATAAATAACAACTTTTGCTTATATCGTAAGTCCAAGATGATATGATAATATGATAATCTAATATTTTTAATAGAAACATTTAAAATCATTTTAGCAGCTGGGATTTAATTCAGTCAAACTGTTATAATAGAAGAGGCAAAGGAGAGATGGACTAAATAAAACTGACATCAATATTTTAACATAATATCACTTTTATCAGAGAAAATAATAAAAACGTCATAAAAAAAGCACTAAAAATATATTTTTGAAAAAAGTTTTTATGTTCACCAAGGCTGCATTTATTTGATCAAAAATACCATAAAACAACAATATTGTGAAATATTGTTACAATTTAAAATAACTTTTCTATATTTCTATAAAGAAAGAACTTTCAAAATTTCTATATATTTTTATCTGAATATATTTTAAACTGTATGATTCATGTGATGTTCAGCAGCCATTACTCCAGTCTTTGGTGTCACATGATCCTTCAGAAATCATTCTAATATGCTGATTTGGTGCTCATGAAATATGTATTATCGTTGTCAATACTGAAAACAGTGTTGCTTAATATTTTGTGGAAAAATTTTTTTTTCAGGATTCTTTAATGAACAGAAAGTAAAAAGAAAAAAATCTGCATTTATTTGAAATACAAACCTTTTGTAGCATTGTATCTTTACTCACTTTTAATCAATTCAGTGCAACCTAGCTGAATAAAAGTACTGATTTCTCGTATTAATGGACACAGTAATATAAAAAAAGAAGCGGAAAAAAAATCTTGGTAGATGCTAAGCTTACGTGAGGAGCTCCTTCTTGCTCTCCTTGCAGGGAGCATATTTGTGTTTGGGGCTGGGGAGGGACATGTCTCCTGAATACTGCTGGTCTTCCAATAGATCCTGAAAGGGGTCCAGGTCATCCTGAAAATGAGGATGGAGAAAAAAAAGAAAGATTTCAGAGTATGTTATGATGCAGTATAAAAGGGAAGAACAGTACAACAGCCTGCCAGTAATTACATAATATACAGCGCAGTTCACATTAAAAGAATACCATGTTTTATAACACTAGCACAAAACAACACTGAGCACAAAATCTCATACAGCCTAATTTGCATTCATTCAAGTTCCCCAACAATTTAGCAAAAACATCAATTCCCTTTTGAAATAATAATAACAACAGTTCACGTCTGTTGGTTCATGAATGAGTAATTAATTAACAGAGGAAAATCCGTTTTCAAGCAATAATCTCCAGTGAAGTGAAGGCATGCAGTACCCGCACTCTACACTAGATGTCCTTTCAGTCCTTCAAAAGGAACAGCCTACCATCCTTCAAATCACTACAATAGGAGAAAATACAGCTTCCCTTACCAGTTTACTGTTTAAGGTTTACACAAGAACAAAGCAACCGTTTAGACATTACTAAATTGTGCTCCAATTTACATGTCACAGTCAAACAATTTTAGATTATAAATAGGTCCTTTTGCTTGGCTACGGTAGAAACGACAATTTGGGAAGACTGAGCAGAAATCTCTGCCCATGGATTGCATTGGAAGTGGGCTGAACACGTAAGCAGAAAACTGTTATCTTACTATGACTATCACTCATCTACCAACTGCCTTTTTAGCTAACCAGTTAGCCACTAAAAGCATGTACCTCCTTGTGGTCCTCGTCCAGGGGTTTGATCTTGGTGTAGTCCACAGGCAGGTCCCAGCAGTCTGCCGTGCTCATCTGGTAGCACTGGCTGTTGAGCAGGGCCTGCCGCTGGGGTGACATGGGCTGCAGGGGGGTCAACACTGTGCCTCCACTGCCCTCCCCCATCCCTCCAGCCTGGCTCAGATCCAGGGTTCCGTTCTCATCCCCATCTCTGTCATCAGGGCTCTGCCACAAAAGAGAGGAAAGAGAGGAGGACTGATAAGAGATATAAGAATAATTAAGAGGTAAAAAGATGAGAAAAAAGCAGAGTGAGATATGGAAGGGAAGGATGACAGATGTGTGTGGGGGGGGGGG